AATTATAATATTTAATAAATTTAATAAATATAATATATCAATTTTATATACTTATTTGACTGAATTGATACCAAATTAAAACCAATTTTAGGCTGATTTATGGTTATTTAAGTTCTGAATTGATGCCGAATGATGCTGAATTAAGGTTAATTTTAAGTTAATTTATGTTATTTAAGTTTCGAATTAATGCTGAATGATGCTGAATTAAGGTCAATTTTAGGCTGAATAGCCATATCAATCAGCATCTATTGGCGTCTAAATTGTTGCCAAATTGAGGCCAGTTTTAGGCTGATTTATAGTTGAATTTAAGTTCTGAATGGCCATGTCTGATTGGATCAATCAATGTCTATCGGCACCTGTTTGTGCTGATCAGAAAATATGGCAAATCAGCCGTAAATAATATCAAAATCGACCTAAAATCAGCCATCTGATTTTTAGCTAATTTGGACTATTTCAACTAATGATTATAATATATATATTTTTTAGTCTTATAAGATAATACAATTTCAATTATATATAAAAATAATATAATAAAATTTAGATCAGCAGAATAATAAAGCATATAAAACTTTTATTCTACAAATTTAAAATAATATTTATAAATGTTAGTAAAAAGGTATATCAACTAAATTAATTATTAGCTAAAAGGTATTAGTTAATCAGCATTTAATAAAGTGACTATTAGTCAAAATGATGTATATAATTTTAATATAATATTATCTGATTTTATAATATTTAGAATAAAATTTTCTAAAATTAAAACTTTTTAAAATTTCATTTTAATAATTATAAAATATATATATACTTATCTTTATTTAAGTAAAATATATAAATATATCTTTGAAAATTTTTTTTTATTTATTTTTTAAAAATCATTAATTCTTGATTAATATAAAATAAAAAATTATATAATATATAAAAATATTAAATTTTTTACAATTTTCTTAAGAAAATAAATAAAAATCATAAATATAATAAAGATAATATTAAATAGTAATAATTGTAAAATTAGTTAATATAATTTCTTTTTAACCTATTTTAATCTAAAATATATAATACATATTTCAAGCATTTCAAATTCCATTTCTACATTTTTAATTAATTTAGTATTAATTTTTTATATATTTGCTATTTAATATAATTTATAAATACTTGCTTTTATTACATTTTATTAAATATACAGTTTAAGGGTCAATTGTTGTAATAAATATATTGGATAAAATGCTTTGACAATTTTTTAAAATAAAATATTTTTTACTATTAGAAAATTTATTACATATAATAATAAAAATATATAATATCCAAAAAACTGATAATTGATAAATATTATAATTATTACTAATCATTATTATCATTTTTACTTTCATTTAAAAATTCTAAATAATTACAATCTTTATCTCTTTTAGAATTATAAGCTTTTAACAAAAATAAAAGATAAAAAATAAATATTTTTTAAAAAATTATGTTTTTCTAATCCTTCATTATTTTATCAAATTCTTGAATTTATTCTTTAATTAACATATTAATTATATCTTTTTCTTTTATATCATCACAGCTTTATATAACATTAGATACAAAATGAATGTCAAAACTACCAAATAAATTTATGCAATCACTACCTTTAACTTTATTATAAAGGATATTTTAACAACAAATCCTATTTCTCTTATATAAATAAAACAATTGAAATTAGAAATAAATAAAAAATTCTAAAGAAATTTTCAGCACGCCCATTTATTTTTTAAGGTTTTGTGTTACTTAATATGGATCTTTCCAAATTTAATGTGAAATATTAAAAAACAAAGTTACTATTATATGTAAATGTTTCACCAATTCAGAATTGCATTTTGCAACTTAAATAAATCTATATAGAAATTATCAGGTACATCATTAGGAACACGAGCACCGTTAAATAGTAAGTTGGTAGGAATAGCTACTTGATAATCTCCAATACCAGGACCATCACAAGCAACTGCCCCAAATCCGACTCCAGTAATTATATTGACTGGAACATTTACAGTACTTTGGAGATATCTTTGTGTTGAAATGTGTAGAGATGCTGTTCCAAAGGACTTTACGATTATTGGTATGGTTGGATTTGGATTATTGCGTGAATACAGTAGTGCAAGCAACGCAACAGTATTATCCTGACGAGGAGGAAATATCTTTATAACCAAATATAATTGAATCGTGGTATATGTAGAAAAATATTCCGCAGCTAAACCATGCAAACTGTTTACACTTTCCGTATTACCAACTTCCACAACTAAAGTTGGATATATTCTTCCTGATGTGTTGACGGCACGTGCGGTTTGAGGTAGTGAACGATTCATTGGTCGAACGCAAATGTCACAACGATAAAGACTTCTTGGACCCACAATTATATCATTTTCACCCATTACTTTCAATTGATCACTCCAACTTCTCATAATATAAATTAATTCTCCTTGTGCTATTGAGTGATGTTCGATAGGCATTTCATAAGCTTCGATCTTTCCGTCGATTAAACGGAATTTTACAGAAATCCTTGGTTCCCTTTCACTAAACTCTTGGAATTTTCCACGTGATATTTCACTATCGATAATAATTCCTTTACGTTTCACTTCTTGAATTCCGTCCTGTCGTTCAAAAATGGCAAGTAAGGAGTGTCTTGCAAGGTCAAATTTCTCGCACCATTTAGAGTATAATAATTTTTTCTCATTTTGCGAATAAGTTGACATGATGTTTAGGAAAATAAATCAATTGCGTAATGATCAAGTTTATATGGGTGACAGGTTACACCGATTATATGGTTTAATGAAGTCGGATTTTAATGGTGCATAAATTTAACAATTACCGTTTGTTGATCGAAAAGAAAAGACAAATAAACTTTCATATGAAATTGATTTTTTTTTTAATTAAATAAAGTGTTCTTAAAAAAAATTGTTTTTTGTTAAACAATTACTATTTAATGAACAATTACGATAAATTAATATTCAATTATTAGGGTTGTTCGAAAATATTTGCGAGCCACTGTATAAGCCACAATTTCAGCACTTTTTTTTTCGTCTAATTTACGGTGTTCTGCTTTCGCAGTTAAGATAAATAAGAGTGTTACCGTTGACATGCTGAGAGAGGTTATCAAGGATAAGATCGATGTCCCTGATAATTTCAAAGCAAAAAACTTTAAATTATGGAAGGTTAATGTCCCTATTAACTCGCCATATCTCAATGACCCAAGTGTAGACATTTCGAATGTGCTTGATGGAGAGTTGCTTCTCCATAACCCTTGATGATCATTGTTGAGTTGCCTACTATCACCGGTGAGTTTTAGATACCTGGAGAAAATAGTTCAATATTAAACAAAAAGTAGAATTGTAATGGAATTTAGTGAATCGAAGTGTAATAATTTCCCATTCCTCCGCAATATTATTTTCTTCTGTGGCGGACGATTTTTTTTTACTGGCCTTTGCTCGTTATAATCGGATAATCGGAATTGCCATCTTTTTATTTGACCATTTGTGTCTCAGCTACAAGAAACGATAATGAAATCATCACAAGACTCGATATGATGAATGAAAAAATTGAAGATTTAAGAAAAGATAAATCTGTAATACAAATATTAAGCGTAAAAGAAGAAGAATACTTGGCAAAGTATACTGAGCTTGATTATAAATTAACAACTCTTGAAATTGAACTGCCAGGCCTTGACATATTGGACTAGAGGATTAATGCATTCAAATGGTCAGATGAAACAGAAAGATTACAAAACGAAAGATTTAAGACTAATTTCACTAATATTCTCAAACTTTTTTCATTTCGGAGACTTGGGATCTACGATACAATAAATGATAGTTCCTTTCTTATTACATGTGCTGACATCCTTCCAATAAAATTATCTGGTACAACACATTAAGTTATAGTAGACAGATATTCTATTGCCATGCAATTCCCAGAGAAAAATATTCGAATCCTTTTTGAATATAAGAAACCATTATAAAAGCAGATACATTTCAAATTATGGCGGAATTAATCTCGGCGGATTTAAAATCAAATCATACTGTGTTGACTGATTTGATAGACGATTGGCTGTTTTTTTTTTGGCTTAATGATAGAAATATCATAGAGTTCAAACTTTCAAGAGTTAATGCTGTGGCACTGTTACGAAAAAAAACCTTGCATTAGCGGAATTAGAATTGGAGATATTGGAGAGTCAAGAATTGGATCAAGAATTAGAAATACTGAAATGGATCAAGTTTCGGGCACTTCTACTTCTGAAGTGAAAGAACCACTACCAAAAAAGCAGAAGATTAAACAAATGTTTAGTACCGCTAACGTAAGTTCTGAAATAGCTCCTATAAAAGATTTTTTAGATACGATGACAAAAGAAGAAATATTTAGATATAAAGCAAATCGTGTCTTAATTCAATTTTTTAGTCAACTAAGCTTTAATCCATAGTCGGAATAAGAACAGGCTGAGGTTGAAATATTAGAAAGAATCATCATTTAATTGACTACGATCACGGGTGATTCCAAACTTTGTAATTCGTTTTTTTTACTACTAATTTTATAATAAAATCAAATTCTTTGCAAATCAATTGGCATGCATTAATTTTTTTTTGCTTTTGATATTTCGTCAATCTGTTAATCGAATTTGCCTTTCAGTTGAAATTCAGGGATAAAGGGTCATTATTAATTCATTGCGAAATTTAATCTACCAAAAGATAAGTAAAGGGATTGAACTTATGCTAATTATTTTATTTTTTACTTGACAATATATGGAATATCAATGGATTGATTTCATGACTCATATGATTCCCTACAGATGAATAATTCGATTTTGGATCATGAATATAGGTTATGAAGCATAGCGAACTTTCATTATGATTGGTCAATTTTCGCAGATCATTTTTTATTATTGCTAAAATTCTATTGGCTGATAAAGTCACATGATTCATTAATTATTAAATCGAAAAAAGTGAATTAATAAAAAGAATTAATTTTTTTTATCCATTTATAAAAATATTATTAAATTATTGTATTATTTATATTTTATTAATGTTTTTCAGCTACACTTCATATGATATATAATAACATTTTCTTTAATTATGCATTTGTCAAAGCATTTACAGCTCTTTCAAAAAGAGAATCTATATTATTATCTAAAGAAAAATCTTCAATTCCAATATTAGTATTATCATTAGGTTCAATAATATCCAATTCATTTATATTCTCATCTGTAACTATCTCACCAAAAGAATTCAAAGTTTTTTGAAAGGCTTTACAATTATTTTCAATTCCGCTTATAAGATAATCAGCACAATATTGACATTTATTATTTAACTTAAATAAAAAATATTTAAAATGATAACCATAACTACTAATTAAAATACAATCTACTTCATATGAATTTTCACAACTTTCCAAATCGCAATATCTATCTTTTTGGAAAGAATATGTTGTATTCCAAGCTATTAGCAAAATCTTAACATCAACTTTAGCACTAATGTTACAAGTTCATATAATTTAGAAGAAATAGCCTTAGATTTGTTAAGATTATGATATACATCTATAAATAAATTTAATAAAAAAAGAGCCTTGCTTTTTTCAAGATATTCTAACTGTTTTGCTGAATATCTAATATTATGATTTTCAAAAAACACATTAGTAAAAGAGTTGTTATCACGCATTTGATCAATTATTCGCATTTGTTGAATAATCTGTTTTATAGTATTTGATTTTTGTATTCGTCGATGGAGAGAATTGTGAAAATTTTCTACATAATAATTATTAAAAATGTGAAGAAAATCCAAAAGAACTTGTAAAATAGGATGATTAGTATTGTTTTAATAAAAAACATCACTTAAAAATGCTAATGGTAACTTATTATAATGTTTACGTTAATATTAATAAAAAATGACTCACATATGAAACATAATTTCTTTATATGCTAATCAATCTCCACTATGAAATATAATAAGATAAAAATCCAGAACCAATAGTACAATATTATCCAGCAAATTGATAAAATATCTAGCTTCTGGGTCTTTAGACTGCTCAAATTTTTATAGAATTGTTGAACACACTCGCATCTAACCTTGAGATGCTAATTTTAAAAGCAGATTAATTTTGTAAGGTTTTAGCTTTTTTGCTAATACCTTTCAATACCCAAATATTGTGTGAAAAAACTTGTCAAAAAATTGATAATTTAAAAGAAACACAATTTTATGACTATTTAAGAATATATGTAAAGGTCTAATCATTGGAACAATATGCAGAACTTGTACTGGTATTCTAGAAGAATCTCTAATTTTGATATGATAGGTAATAACATGAAATACATTTAGTTGTCCAGGATAATTCATAAGCGCTACTAACATTTGTGTTTCCATATAAGTTTTTACTTCAAAAATATTTAACAGATGTTTAATTGCATTTACATAATCTTCAATTGAATATAGTGAACCTTCTTTAGATCAACCAGTTTCATATTTTCCATACTTCAATCGATATAATGTTGTTCAATCCTGTTATCATAACTATGAACTAAAAGACGCTTAACTTCTTCATCATGAGTCTCTGATATAGATATTAAATTAGCAAATGTTTTCTTTCATCTTGTGTAATTAAGCCATAGAAAAAGAAAGAAAGAAGTATAAGCATTTTGTGTAATAATGGTTACATCAATGCCCTTTTCATTGTGGATACTCTTTTCTTGATTAGGATTATAAAATAGGATAGATGCTGTTTCTGGCAAGGCTTTTAAGAGTATCGTAATAAAATGTTAAATATCATATGTAGTTATTATATTACTGCGGTGGTACTCATAAATGTTGTGAAAATTATTCACATTAAGAACAATCAAGTTTTCATTCTGTTTAAAAGATAGTTAGTTAATTTAATTAGATTAATTATGAATACAACACTCATATAAATAAATATTCTTATATATACATTATCTGTTAAAAACCTTCTTACTGTTATTATATGTGCTTCTGAATGCTGTGCTTTTTGTCTTGCAATTATCATTCATCTTACCATCAAACCTATACTAGCTAATGTCTCTATTGCTGATAAAGATGTTCCAGATGCGTCTAACATAAACCTAACCTCTGTTTTAATCCCATTAATAAACTTATTATTGAGTCTCGCTAAAAAATAGCAAAAGAAACTAGTCTACTTTTATTTTTTTCGTTAGTCATATTATTTTTAGTTTGTGGGTTTATTCCAACTACTAATTGATCAAAAAATCCCTTTAATGACAGTTCAACTTTCTTGAGCATTTTCTTGAATTTATTCAGATCTAGAATAGGTCATTTGTTATACACATATTGCCTTATATATATCATCCCGGCTATTAGTTTAATCTTTTTACTGAGAGGAATTAATTCTAAAATATATTGATTATATAAGAAGCAGTTTAGAGACAATTACATATAAAAATGTATTTAGTTACTTACCTAACTTTACTTCATCAAGTTCTGCACATATATCATTATATTCAGCTTTCAGTTTTAAAGGTCATTGTATAAATATCTTTGAAAATCTGCTTAAAATAAAACTTATTAAACTATTAAACAAATACTGCTCAATTAAAAAGAATAAATCACTTAAATACCCCTATCTAATAGTTATAGTTCACAAAAATTATACATTAACAGTAAAATTTTTATTTTTTATTATCTTATTTATTATTTTTTATATTTTTAGATAGTTTTGAAGGATTTTAAAAAGAAAATAGATTATATTTTATTCTTTTATTCTTTTTTTCAAAAATAGCAATATTATAATAATAAATATTTAGAACAATTTAAAGGAATTTTAAGAGGAAATTGTGTTATATTTTCTATTTTTTTTACTTATATTTTATATTTTTTAAATAGAAAATTAGATTTTGGTAATATTTTTATTATATTTTGCAAATTATATTAGGTTTTTATTATTAATAAAATTTTAATATTTAATAAATTTAATAAATAAAATATATTGAT